ATTTTGCTAACATGAGGAGCTTACTCGACGGGAGGGGCCTTTTGGCAGCTATCCATTTAGAGCGTAACTGGCACTTGTTAGTTTCTCAAGGCTAGGTTTCAAGGCTTTTAGTAAATACACATTTTATCAAAGCTATTTCTTGCTGACATGCAAATTCTATGTTCTATAGACAAGGCTTTCTTGTAAAACTATGGGGGCCTCTTAGAGGTATAGCAAGAGGATTTAAAGGGGCCTTACAGATTTATAGAGGCCTAATAATTCTACAACAACTTCACACAGGGGAGGTCTGGTTGTTCGGTAGTTTCATTCGAATAAACTAAGGGAATGGAACTACCGAACAATCACAAGAATACAAGGCTTTACAACACATAGAAAACCAGCAGATCACCCGAATGCAATTATTTCGAAGACATTTGCAGGACAGCCCAGTGCCATCCGCTACACTGCTCCCCCTTGCCCACAAGCCGGCATACACAGTCTGATCCAACACGGATCGGCTTGGGGATGTCCGGGGACTCACGGATCATTTCTCCAGGTCAGTTTGTCTTGACAACCCGTCGGCATTCCCATTCTGTTTACCCGGGCGGTACTGAATATTAAAGTCAAAAGGCTGCAGCGCCAAACTCCAGCGCAGCAGCCTGGCATTGTCCCCAGCCACCCGGTTTAGCCATACCAACGGGTTGTGATCCGTGAGTAACGAAAAAGGCTGTCCATATAGATACGGCTGTAGTTTCTTTAAGGCCCACACCACAGCCAGGCATTCCTTCTCGATGGCGGCGTAGCTTACTTCTCTGGGTAACAGCTTGCGACTGATGTAAGCCACGGGGTGTTCTCCGCCATCGGCTCCGACTTGGCTCAGTACTGCTCCCAATCCAAACATAGAAGCGTCTGTGTGAACAAGAAAACGTTTAGTTGGATTGGGAGCTGCCAAGACAGGAGCATTTATCAGTGCATTTTTCAGATGTTGGAATGCCTGCTCACACTCCGGGGTCCAGGTCACCTGGCGGGGCAAATTCTTCCGAGTAAGGTCAGTGAGAGGTTTGGCGAGGGCGCTATAGTTAGGGACAAACTTTCTGTAATACCCAGCGGTCCCTAGAAAAGCTAACACCTGGGTTTTAGTCCTAGGAGTGGGCCACTGGGCCACGGCTTCTACCTTGGCTGGTTCGGGCTTCTGTTTGCCGCAACCCACTCTATGTCCGAGGTACTGCACCTCGGCCATCCCTATGCTGCACTTGGCCGGTTTCAATGTCAAACCAGCTTCCTTAATCCTGTCTAGAACCGCTCCTATATGGGCCAAGTGCTCCTGCCACGTATTGCTAAAAATGGCAATATCGTCCAGGTAGGCACAGGTGTAGTCTTGGAACCCATCCAGGAGTCGGTCTACCATCCGCTGGAAAGTAGCTGGGGCGTTTTTCATCCCAAATGGCATGACCTTAAACTGGTACAAGCCAAATGGGGTGACAAAGGCCGATTTCGGGATGGCCTCTGGGGCCAGGGGGATTTGCCAATACCCCTTACATAAGTCAATGGTAGTGAGGTATTGACCCCTGGCCATTCTGTCCAGTAGCTCATCTATCCGTGGCATAGGGTATGCATCGGACACCGTTTTCTCGTTTAATCTCCGGTAGTCTACGCAGAAGCGGGTCGTACCGTCCCGCTTCGGTACGAGTACTACCGGAGAAGCCCAGGGACTATCTGAGGGCTCAATCACCCCCAGTTGGAGCATCTCATCGATCTCCTTGCGCATGTTTTCCCTTACCGCTTCGGGGATGCGGTAAGGGGTCTGCCGCATCGGTAGTTGCCCTGGGGTCTCTACCCGGTGAGTGGCCAGAGGGGTGTACCCAGGTACATTAGAGAACGTGTCTCGTTTCTCCTCCAACAGCTGCTGTACCTCGATGCGCTCCTGTGGGCTCAGCCGGTCTCCCAGTGTGACTTCCCCTAAATCCCCAGACAGCTGCCCATCTTCCAGCAGATCTGGGAGTGGTAAGCTGTCAAACTCATCCGAATTGGGCGCACATATGGCGGTTACCTCCTCGGAGCGCGCTTGGTAGGGCTTCATCATGTTCACATGGAGCATGCGTCGCCCTCCCGTCCCTGTACAGGGGCCAATTATATAGGTGGTGTCACATCTCTGTTCCACCACCCTATAAGGTCCCTGCCAGGCGGCCTGTAGCTTGTCATGTCGGATAGGCTTTAAAATTAGCACTTTCTGCCCGACCTGAAAGCTACGGTCCCTGGCTCCCCGGTCATACCATGTGCGCTGGCGGGTCTGTGCCGCCTGAAGGTTTTCCCTTACCGTCCTGGTTAAGGCTTCCAGGCGGTCTCGGAGAGCCAACACATATGGTATGATGGGGGTGCCATCTGCGCTCCGGTCTCCCTCCCAATGCTCTCTTATAAGATCTAAGGGGCCTCTGACCCTCCTCCCAAACAGCAGTTCAAACGGGGAAAACCCCGTGGATTCCTGCGGCACCTCCCGGTAAGCGAATAGGAGATGCGGCAGGAACCGCTCCCAGTCCTTGTGGGTCTCTGCGAAGGTTCGGAGCATTTGTTTCAATGTGCCATTGAACCGTTCGCAGAGCCCATTAGTCTGGGGGTGGTAAGGGGCACTGATAATAGGCTTAATGCCACAGATCCTCCAGAGGTGTTGGGTGAATTCTGCGGTAAATTGGGTACCCTGATCCGAGATAATCTCCCTGGGTAATCCCAACCGGGAGAATATCTGCATGAGGGCATCCGCGACCGTTTCAGCCTGAATGTTGGTCAGAGCCACCGCCTCTGGATATCTGGTAGCATAGTCTACTACCGTTAAAATGTACCTTTTGCCTGACGGGCTGGCTTTCTTGAGGGGACCTATCAGGTCTACCGCTATTCTGCTAAAAGGTTCCTCAATTATTGGCAAGGGGTGTAGCTTTGCCTTCCTCCGGTCTCCCCTTTTCCCTACCCTCTGGCAGGTGTCGCAGGTGGTGCAATACCGGCGCACTTCCTGGCTGATCCCTGGCCAGAAGAAATTTTGGGTCAGTCGGTACCTAGTGCGGCTGACCCCTAGATGTCCGGATAGCGGGATATCGTGCGCTATCCGGAGTAGCTCTGCTCGGTACCGCTGCGGCACCACTAGCTGCCTCGTCAATATTGGGTCTGACCCCTCAATCTGCTTGTCTGTCTCCCTGTACAAAAGCTGCTTGTCCCAGACAAATCTCTCCCCCTCTCCCCCCGGAGGGTCTGCTGTCACCTTGTCTCTGTATACCTGCAAGGTGGGGTCAGTTACTACCTCTGCTGCAAATTCGTTAGGAGGGGCCCAGGGGACACAGTCAAGGGAAGGGGAAGGGTCTCTTACCTGAACCTCCGGAAGTGTGTTGTAGTCCTGGGTGCGGGCCTGTTGACGGGTGACCACAGGATGAGCTTCTCCTGTGGTGGACGTCTGGGGCTCAAAAGCAGATGTGAGCCTCCCCAGATCGTTCCCCAATAAAACCTCCGCCGGTAACTGCGGCATCAACCCCACCTCCACATGTCCTGCCCCCGCTCCCCAATGTAAATGTACCCTTGCTGTAGGTAGCCGGTATACTGCTCCCCCGGCTACCCTGACGGCCACAGTTTTACTTAGTCTCGCTTCATCCGAGACCAGGTGACTTTTGACCAAGGTGATGGTAGCCCCCGAATCACGTAGGCCCTGTACTGCTTTACCCTCCAGGTATACGGTCTGCCTGTGATGCTGTCTGTTATCAGCATTGGCCTGGACTGGATCCGCCTCGTGTAGTACTTCCCACTGTTCCACGGTTGTTATGGGAACAGCTGACCCATATGGTGTGGCCACTATATTTTGGTAGTGATGGGCGGCGGCTGCTCTCGGTGGTGGTGGTGGGCCGGGGCGAATCCAGGTAGAACGATCCCTCAGCTGGGGACATTCCCTTTTATAATGTCCCCACTTCTGGCAGTGATGACAGGGGCCAGAAGCGGGCTGGCGAAACCGTGGCTGTACAGCGGGTGGTGGTGGTGGTGGCAGTTGCCTTGGTGGAGCTGGGTTGTAGCTGTTTCCCCCAAAGGTTTTAAAAATAGCTTTTGGGGCTGCTGGTTTCTGCTGCCTGCGTGCATCCAAGTACTCATCGGCCTTCCTAGCAGCTTCGGTAAGGGAGGTAGGGTTTCTGTCCCTCACCCATTCCTGGACCTCGCCTGTTACCCCCTCATAGAATTGCTCCAACAACACCATTTGCAATAAGTCCTCCATGGACCGAGCCTTATTGGACTGTACCCACCCCAGAGCGGCCCGATGCAACTTGCAAGCCCATTCCACATGAGAGTCCTTGTCATTTCTCTTTAGGTCTCTAAACCGTCGCCGATATGCCTCTGGCGTGATTGCATATCGGGCCAGGATCACTTCTTTTACTCTGCGGTAATTCCGAATTTCCTCATCAGGTACAGTTCTATAGGCTTCCGCCGCCTTCCCTGTGAGCTTCCCTGCTAAAATAGGCACCCACTCGTCTGGGCTAATATTATGCAATGCACACAGCCTTTCAAAGTCTTGGAGAAAAGCATCTATATCTTCCTCTGCTTCTATATATGTTTTAAAAGCTTGGTAAGGAATTTTTGTCTTACCCTGGGTGATGGTAGTTGTGGTAGCATTCCTCTCCAGCTGCTGTAGTGGCCTTTGACGCAGTATGAACTCCTGTACCTCTGACATTGTCCTGGCTATAATATCCGTTGTTGGATTCTCTCCATAAAAGGACAGCCTGAACTGCACCTCTCTCCGGAACTCTTCTTTTTCAGCTCCATCTGCTGCACTCTGTTGCTCAGGGATTACCCTGTCCTCCTGCTGGTATTCAGCCATCACTTCTGCAATGAGGATTGCTTTCTTTTTGTTGCTGGCTGCAATGCCTTTCGCTTCTAGGAGATCTTTTAGCGTGGATCTTTTAAGCTTGGCATAATCACTCTCCATCCGTATTCCATTAGTCCTTGTTCCCTTGTGAGTCTGGATCCCAGCGCTGCCAACCAATGTAGCGGAGATGCAATATTCCCCAGGTTATCTCCGCTTGTAATCCAAGTGAGGCTCAGGAACAAGTAAATAATAAATCCAAAGGCAAGGTTTCCAGCAAGTAAAACACAGCAATATCCCCACAGCAATCCCAATAACTGGACGACACACAGTTTCAGGAGCAGAACTGACAAGCCTTTAATCACAGTCTCCTTATAAAGCATGCTCCCATGCAAGGGAGGGATTTACAGTAATTATTACAGTAGCCAATCCTGTCCTGGTAACCTCCCACATATCTCCTCCCCTCAGCCAGCATCATAATCCCCTTATCCAGTACACCAATTCCCCCCGTTTCTGGATGTACCCCTAAACGTAGGGATACCTCTTTAAATCCTACATCCCCTGGTAGCCCTGATCTGGGTGAACAACATATCCAAAAATCACCCAGATCAGACCAGGGGTTCGGGAAAAGTATGGGGGGAATAAAATGACCGACCGCACGAACTGAGATAGCCGAATTCGGTTCCATGTGAATGGGCCCTGCGGTCGGTCCTGGCATAAGGGAATAAAATACACGAAAACCTTTAGCTATAGAGGCTAGGGAGGGTTCGCCTGAATCCCCTCGTTCGGTATTCTCTATCTACCGAACGAGGGGCCGTTCGGTAGTTTGGAACCGAACGGACAAGGGCTGTGGAGGTCTCAGCGGTGTTCGCCTACTCGAGTGTCCGATTTTAGTTCCAGACACTCGACGGCAAAACACCGCTGTTCGGGAGTTTTAAAATGGCCGCCGCCACGTGTTCGTTTGTCGAATGGCGGCCACCCCCGAGAACAAAGGACGGCTACTTTACTGTTCAATTACCCGTTCGCAACAATGTTGCAACGGGTAATTGAGGACACACTTCACACAGGGGAGGTCTGGTTGTTCGGTAGTTTCATTCGAATAAACTAAGGGAATGGAACTACCGAACAATCACAAGAATACAAGGCTTTACAACACATAGAAAACCAGCAGATCACCCGAATGCAATTATTTCGAAGACATTTGCAGGACAGCCCAGTGCCATCCGCTACACACGCGTTCCTGCAGGACTCGAGCCCTGGTCCTTGGAGATAATTGGATTACTTCCCAATTATCTCCAGGACAGAGAGGAGGGATTGTGATGTAATTGTGGGAGTGTTTAAAGGTGTATGTATGTGATTGGCTAAGGGCCGATATGTTTCCCAGTTTCCCATTTGGTCCCCTAGGGGAGTGTCCACCAGGTGGGAGACCTGCATAAAAGCCGGGCAGTTAGCCCCAGTCAACCAGGTTCTGCTTGACCTCAAAACGAAGTGTCGTCTCGTTATTGGGGGAATTGGATTGTATGCTGATTGCCAGGAGTGTAAGCTAATTGTATGTTATTCCTGTTGAGTTGCTTACTGCATTCATATGCTTGAGAGCATTCGTATGCTATTCCGGTTTGGTGGTTGTGGTGTCTGCTACAGTGCTTGGAGTCCTTAGGAAGCGCTAGGAGCATCCTTCAACGGAGGTACCCAGTCGGGGTGCCAGGCAATCCATTACATTGGTGGCAGTGGTGGGATCGTTCCCACAGACCAGAAGGACAGCTACAAGACAACACCAGCTCCTAGATTACAAATTGAGGGTAACGCTAGTGCCCATATAGCGCCCCTATCTACAGAGGAACCAACTTCGTCAGAGCAAGCATGGTGCCTGACTACACTCAGGAGCAGTTGGACAGAGAGGTTAATGAGGTGCTGTCGCTCTGTGGACCTAACCCCTCTGAGAAAATCGTGCAGCTCGTGAGGAAGGGAATGGGAGAGTACCTGCAAGCCCGAGCAGAGTGGGCCAGGGGGGAGATACCCCAGCAGCAGAGTGAGTTACAGGGAGCCAAAGGTGTCGTCCTTCCTCCCCTAGCGGCAGAGTGAGTTACAGGGAGACAAAGGTGCCGTCCTTCCTCCCCAGCAGCCGAGTGAGCTACAGGGAGCCAAAGGTGCCGTCCTTCCTCCCCAGCGGCAGAGTGAGTTACAGGGAGACAAAGGTGTCGTCCTTCCTCCCCAACGGCAGAGCGAGTTCCAGGGAGCCAAAGGTGTCGTCCTTCCTCCCCAGCAGCCGAGTGAGTTACAAGGAGCCAAAGGTGCCATCCTTCCTCCCCAGCGGCAGGGCGTGTTACAGGGAGCCAAAGGTGTCGTCCTTCCTCCCAAGCGGTAGGGTGTCCTGCAGGGAGCAGAGACCATCGGTCTCGCACCCAAGCAGCATGACAAAATATTGAAAGGGGAGACAGTCGGTCCCCCTCTCCACAAGCAGAGAGAGTGTCAGGGAGAGGAGCCTGCTACCCCCTCTCCCCAGCGGCTGAAAGTGTTGCAGGGAGAGGAGTCGTGACCACCTCTCCCCAGTGGCAGCTTGACATACCCAGGGGACACAGTAAGCCCCACAACCGTGCAGATGTGACCGTGGTCTCTGCACTTACAACACAGGGGGTAGGGACAGTCGGTCCTGCCCCCCAGCGACCGGGCTGTTTAGCCAAAGGGGAGACAGTCGGTCTCCTCCTCCGGCAGCAGAGCTGTGTATCCAAAGGGGAGACAGTCGGTCTTCCCCTTCAGCAACCAGGCTCCAACCAGGCTACTTCCACGGGAGCGCTGGCACCAGGGCAGAGTGCCACTGGTCTCTGCCCACTCAGCAACCCACCAAGGCAGCCTACCAGTCCCCCGCACAGCCATGGTGAGGCACCTGGACACGGACAAGCTTTTCCTCTACCCAGGTGTAGTAACCATTTATTGTGGGTGGGCTGTACT